ACTCACAATGAATTAAATCAGAATTTGTGGTATAAGACTACAGCATTAGTATTTTCATCTTAAATCTTTGCTGGTGGTTTTACTTATCATCTGAGCTGATGGTGATCTAATCCAACAGAAGACATGGAATGGCAGCTGCAAGTAAAGACAACTAGAGCTTTGTAAAATGTCTAAAATTTGTGAAACTTTACCATTTATCATTTTCCAATAATTTTCTCTTCTGTCCTCAAGATTATCAGTAAAATGAAAATGAGATATATGTTTTAAATCTGAGGGCATGGAAAGAGAGAAGCAGTGGAGGTGGCAGGGGGAGACACCCCGTCAGTGGACTGCTGAGAGAGCAGTGATCCACTGGAATCATGTAGGAAACTTTTGAAAATGGTCACGTCTTGGCCCATCCTTAGAAATAGCGGCTTAATTGGCCTTGAGGTGGAGCTCAGACTTCAAACTGCCGTGGTATTGTTTTTTTAAAAGAAAGTTCCCAGATATTCGTAATCTATAGTCAAGCTTTTAGACACATTGGGGGGAGAGCAAAAAGTGATAAGAATAGCAAACTAATTTCCTACAGTCTTTGCAAAGAAAGGAAAACTTAAAGCAATGGGATAGTGTCTGGAAAGTGGCTTCTGCATTTTTTTTTTCTTAGTGGTTTTATTTTTTCTTTTATCTGTTCACGTTTGTTGTTGTGTGCTATCAAGTCGCTTGCGACTCATAGCGCTCTATGTAAAGAGCCCTAAATGCCGTTCTATCCTGTGCCAACCTCACCGTCTCAGACACACTCATTCCCACCACTCCACTCACCGAATCGATCCATCTCATCAAGGGTCTTCCTCTCCTGTGCCATCCCTCCACCCTCCCAAACATGATGTCCCTCTCCAAGGCCCAGTCCCTCCTTGCAACATGCCCAAAGTATGTCAGATAATGCTTCAGAATCCTTGACTCCAAGGAGCATTCTGGTTTCACCTTCTCCAGGACAAACCTGTTTGTTCTTTTAGCAGCCCATGGTACATTCAACACTCTTCTCCAGCACCACAGCTCAAAGGTATCAATTCTCTTTCTATCATCCCTATTAACTGTCCAACTCTCTGAAGCACAGCATATAATTGCAAAGACTTTAGCCTGGATCAGGCACACCTTATTCTCCAGCCTGATGTTGCTTTTCAGTACTCTTGATAGGTCCCTCACAGCTGACTTTCCCAATGCAATTCGTCTTCTGAGTTCTTGGCTGCTGTTACCAAGAGCGTTGACTGTGGAACCAACTAAACTAAAACTGTTAACTATCTCAATCTCTTCACCATCCATACTGATGCTGCTAATTGGCCCAGTGGTGAGAATCTTTGTTTTCTTGATGTTGAGCTTCAATCCATATTGAAGGCTGCAGTCCTTGACCTTCTGCAGCAAGTGCTTCAGGTCCTCCTCAGTTTCAGCAAGCAGGGTTGTGTCATCCACATAACGCAGGTTGTTGACAATTCTTCCACCAATCCTGATGCCACATTCCTCCTCGTACAGCCCAGCATCTCGGATGATCTGTTCTGCATACAGATTGAAAAGGTATGGAGACAAAATACATCCCTGATGGATCCCTTTCTTGATTTTGAACCATGTGCCCACCCCCCTCACCGCCCCCTGCTTCAGCAGTTTTAGAGTTACAAGATCCAGATGGTTTTTCTTTGATAGTTGGTGGATTCAAGTGACTTAAAATCACTGGGACACACTCAGATCACTTTAGGGCATCAGAGGGAAAGCACTACTTAAATCCTGACCAGGGTAGAGATATTTGCTAGAAGTGGAGGGTGTATGAGAAGAAGTAAAAATTGGCAGGTACTCCCTTCTGATCTGTTATTCATAGGGTCAACTACATTCATAGATGACATGATGACACATAACAGCAGTTATACACACAACCCATAACCATTCTCTCATTGACAGAAGCTACTGCCATTTGAATGCAAAGGACTCCGAAATCTAGAAACCCATAACTTTTTTTAGAATCATATGGAAGGTAGGACTAGATCCCTCATTCATTAAAATGTGCATTTATTATTAGTTATAAAAACACAAATTAGAAAATTGAAGACGAACTCAACTGAAAAATTGAAAATAATGTATCAAGATGTAAAACTTCTCTAGTTGCTAGTGAAATCTTGCTATTTCCTTCTACTCTGTGTGGGTATATGAGTGAGAAAGAAAGAGAATGTGTGTGTCTTGTGTACAATTTCCAATCCACTTCCTATACTTAAGTGTTTACAAATATTTTCTTGTTTTTTAAACCTTTGTTAACGTGGATTGTTTGTTGGGTTTTTTTCCCCTCTTCACTTATTCACATATATTTTGTTTTATAAGATTAATTACACTGATCAGTACCATTTATTACAACATTTCATCAGACCTTGTCTTTTCCTTCATCACAGCTATCCATCCTAATGTGGAATTTAAGAATTTATTTTGTTCATAACATCACTGTGAGTCATGCTCGACTCAATAGCCCTTAACAACAACAGCAACAGTATTGTGAGACACCATCTCACATACTTTGGGTGTGTTCTCAGGAGCCAACCATTCCTGCGAAAGGAAAACATGCTTAGAAAAATACATTCAGCAAAGGAGAGAAGGACCCTTAAGGATTTGGACTGACAGAGTGACTGCTAACACAGTGACTGCCACAGTGGACATACACACAGCCACGATATGAGGACGGTGCAGGTTTGGGTAGGGTTTCATACTCTGGTTTTTGTTTTCTTTTTTTCCCCCTTTTTTATTATTATTATTAAATTTTATTAGTTTTAATGAACATTTATAGAGATTTGGGGTTTTCATTCATTCATTGCTGCACTGTTTTCTCCACCCTTCTCCCCAGTTCGTTCTTCTTTTCCCCCCAATGTCTGTTTTAATTGTCCAATTGCCACAGAGATGACTTGACAATATCTAACAAAAATGACCACATAATTGTTAATAGATGTTGTTGTTGATTGCCATTGAGTCGAGCATGACTCATAGTGACCCTATGAACAAAAGACCTGAAGCCTTTCTATAACTATCGTTTCTCATAGTCCATAGAGTTTCCAGAGGCGTGTTGTTTAGGAAGTGGATGCCACTCCTGCTTCCAAAAACTGTGTATTGCTAGTTTGTTGTTGTTGTTGTTATGTGCCATTGAGTCGCTTGCGACTCATAGTGAGTGACCCTATGTACAAAAGCCCTAAACACCATTCTATTCTGTACCAACCTCGCTGTCTCAAATACACTCATTCCCACCACTCCTTTCACAGAATCAATCCATCTCATCATGGGTCTTCCTCTCCTGCGCCATCCCTCCACTCTCCCAAACATGATGTCCCTCTCCAAGGACCAGCCAGCCCCTCCTTGCAATATGCCCAAAGTATGCCAGATGAAGCTTCAGAATCCTTGACTCCAAGGATCATTCTGGCTTCACCCTCTCCAGGATAAACCTGTTTGTTCTCCTAGCAGTCCATTTGGAAATTTTCTTACACTTTGATATTTTAAAGGTATTTTTAATCATTTACTGTGTTAATTATTTTAACAATATTTCCAAATATATATTAATCATATTTCACAGCATCACTGATCTCTAGACCACATTAAAACTCATGCGTACCCCTGAATTTAACCACCTCAGCTCGGGTCTCCCTCCCTCTGCTTCGGTTAGAGATACCTAACAGGACAAGGGCTTCCACTCCTAGTTTGTGCAAGGGAATGACATCAATGACAAATAAGTTAAAAATAAAACTTTAAAACTTTCCATTCTATGTATTCCATTGATAATAGACAAACACGAACATTTTTTTATATGGAGCTTGATATAAAGTCTAAAAACTTAGTTTAACCTGGATGTCTAAGTACATGCCTGCTTTAATTAACAGGCCCTCTTGGGGGCCTTAACCTACCACGCCTGAGTCAACAAATGGAAGGCCACCCCTTTGCTGATGTTGGCAGAAAGTCTTAAAGATTCGGACTCAACAGTAGCCCTTTGGAACCGTAACTTTAGAGAGTTGCCCAAGGCTAGGATTTCCAAGGTCAGTGATCTTTACAGAAGTAGAGTATCATACTCTTCTCCCATGAGTAGCTATAGATCTGAATTGTTTTTGGTTAACAACGAATAGTTTTTTGGGGTTTTATTTTTTATTTTTGTTTTTTAAAGAATTATTTTAATTTTTGTATTTGTTTGCATACAAAATTTGTATACATTGTTTCGTTTAAATGCATTGTCCACACATTCTTTTTTTTGCAACTATTAGTTTTTAATCTTTGTGCCTCCAAGGCTCCTTAGTGGAAGGTCAGTGGCTTTCAAATGCTATGACTCTTGTTTAAGAGGATGGTAAATAATATAAACAGAAAAAAGTAAATTTAAAGTTCAAATGTTACTCAGAGTGAAGCTTAAGGAGGATTTAATAACTAGAAAGCTAGCAGTTTGTTGGAAAATAGTTTGGATACTTTAGAACTGACCTCTCCTTTTAAAAAAAAAGGTGCTTGGGTGGCCCTTCTAAAATATACAACCCTACATGGCTTCTAAAGCTTTATCTTATTTCCAATTAACTTTCACTGTTTTTTTGACTCTCAAAACCTAGGTTATATCTTCAAATTATTTCTAAATTCTAAGTATAGCGGTTTGGGGTTTTTTTCTCTATTTTGAAATCTGCTTACTGCTATAGGATTATCCCTGAGTGAAAATTCCAACTCAATCTTGATGTAATCAAAGGTGAGTTTTGCTTTTCTCATTATTTATTTTTTTCCCAAGAAAATTGTTTCTTTCAAAATGAGAAAATAGAAGGGACAAGATAATGGCTTATCTCTTAAGAGGCTCTGAGAATTTTAGCTGGGAACAGGGATAAAAAATTCAGAGGATGGAGAGGAGATGACCTAGGAAGAAGGAACTATCCAGCTAGAAAGCTGAGAACTTATTATCATGGGAGTCTGCACATAAAGGGTCTAAAGTATTTAAGCTGGAAAATTGAATGGACTGATACCTCCACTACTGGAATATTTCCTTACAGGGACACATGGAATCCGACACTGGGACCAACAGAACAGCTCTTACAGAGTTCATCCTGCTGGGCCTAGTACAATCAGAAGAGCTCCAGCCTGTGGTCTTTGTACTCTTTCTCTTTGCGTACATGGTCACACTTGGGGGCAACCTCAGCCTTCTGGCAGCCATCTTGGCAGAACCTAAACTCCACACCCCCATGTACTTCTTCCTGGGGAACCTATCAGTCCTAGATGTTGGGTGCATTACTGCCTCTGTTCCTCCAATGTTGTATCGTCTCCTGTCACACAAACGCACAATTTCCTATGGTGCCTGCCTCTCACAACTCTTCTTCCTGCATCTTTTGGGTGGAATGGACTGTTTCCTGTTGACAGCCATGGCCTATGATCGCTACCTGGCCATCTGCCAGCCCCTCACCTATAGCACCCGAATGAGCCAGGGAGTCCAAAGGGTATTGGTGACCGTGTCTTGGGCTTGTTCATTCACCAATGCACTGACCCACACTGTTGCCCTATCCACTCTTAACTTCTGTGGGCCTAATGAGGTCAATCACTTCTGTTGTGACCTCCCACAACTCTTTCAGCTCTCCTGCTCCAGTACCCAACTCAATGAGCTGCTGCTTTTTGCTCTTGGTTTCATGATGGCAGGTATTCCTGTGCTTCTCATCATCACCTCTTACATCCACGTGGCTGCTGCAGTTCTACGAATCCGTTCAGTGGAGGGCCGGAAGAAGGCTTTCTCTACATGTGGCTCCCACCTCACTGTAGTCTCCCTCTTTTATGGGACAGGTATCTTCAACTACATGCGCTTGGGTTCAGAGGAAGCATCAGACAAAGATAAAGGGGTTGCAATTTTCAACAGTGTCATCAATCCAATGCTGAACCCACTCATTTACAGCCTCAGAAACCCTGATGTCCAGGGAGCTCTATGGAGACTACTTGGGAGGAGAACATCCCTGACATGAGAGGCAATCCTGACTGTTTCTTTTTGGACTAGAAAACCAAGAAAAAATTGTCTACAAATAATTGTTTTATTCTTCTGTTCACGGAGGATTTAATTAAATGCCTTTCTATGACATTACGTGGTACAGTCATCCATTCTTTCAACAAATATTTATAGAATTACTTTGATGATTATACTTTCCTAGGGCATGGGCACTAGAGAAATGAATAAAATAGACAAATGTCTTTGCATTCATGCAGCTCACATTGTAAAAAGGAAACGAATAAGTGGCATCATATGTGGCGTATCACTTGGCCATAAGGATAAAGTAAATAAGATAGAGGAATATGTTGTTAGGTTGTTAAAGAAGCTTCCTGGGAACACTGTTACTTGATTTTTTTTGAGATTTTGGCTTTCCCCTGTACTTAATTTTTGCCTAGATAAGAAACGCTATAGACTGTGGCAGCAATGTCATACAGCAAATGGGAAATTTGATTAATCACAGCTTAAGTCACCAAGAATATCACTGTACATTTTCTTTCTGGTGAGGGCATGAAATTTCCTCCAGATCAGATTGCAGTATTAAGGTTTATTATTCTGTCCAGCTTTCATCCATGCAACTTTTGTAACACCATGATAGAAAAATTGTACCGGCTGTTTAGTGGATCATATAGGAACGTAGGAACATTGTTCCTACAAAGGAAACTACTACGACACAATTTCTACTTCTACTTCTACTCCTTGCTGTTGAGTTGGAATACTCAGTTTGATCCTCCATTGGGTTTTCAGGTGTGTAAGTTGCACGGGAGGAGATTGCTCATCTTTTTCCCTTCAAAGCTGTTGGTAGGTTTGACGACTCCAGAGAGATAGTTTTGTGTTAGTAGCTCAACTTCCTATGGACTAAATCAAGAATCTACTAAGTAAAATCTCTATTAATGCATATATGACACTTTATCCTTGTTTTGTATATCATATCCCCCCACTTATATGACAAAAAATTGAAAGCTTAAGCATTTATTTTTTTATTGTGTTATTGGAACTTAGATTATCTAATATGACCTTGTCTTCTAATTGTCTTCTCATTTTCTCTTGAAAGCCTTCACATTTGGGAAATGCATGTCCATAAAATAAGTTCCTTGCACTGATGACTCTCCTAACATTTCCTTGTTGGGAGATCACTAGAGCATTTCTTCATCTTAATGTTTGATCAAACTTCAGTTCAAACATATTCCTGATTTTTATACTTCCATAAATTCCTACAGAAGTGGTTGCCTTTTTGTGATAATTATATTTCTCTGCTACAACTGAGGCATGCAAATTAATCTATTCTATGTTATTATTATGCATAAATTTTATGGTAATTTTGTCTTATTCTTTTATGTAATGCATATTGCTTTCACTATTATAAAATGCTATCATTATAAGGTCTCTATTTTTTATACTTTATACTGAATGTGTTTTTCCTATTATGAAATACTTTTTCTAGCATTATCTTTGTAATTATGACTTTTTGTCTGACATAATTTGGATATGTTGCAAGGAGGGACCACTCCTTGGAGAGGGACATCATGCTTGGGAGGGTGGAAGGACAGCACAATAGAGGAAGACCCTTGATGAGATGGGTTGATTCAGTGACAAGGATAATGGATATAGATGTGTCAGAGACAATAAGATTGGCACAGAATAGAGTAGGGTTTTGTGCTGTTGTATATAGGGTCACTATGAGTCACAGGCAACTCAATGACACATGACAACAACAAGAACTCAAGGTTTTCAAACAGCATCTATTGAAGCCTTGTCATTGTTGCGTTGTGTGCCATGGAGTTGGAACTGACTCATAGCTGACCCTCCAGTGGATTTTCAAAGGTAGTAAATATCACAGGAGGAGACTGTCCATCCTTTTCTAGTGGAGCAACTGTGGGTTTGAATCCTGTGACTTTGGGATTGCAGTGCAACTTCTTAGCACAAGGCCACCAGAGCTGCCCATTGATTCTTTAGTATAAGCAATGATACTGTTAATCTACATCCTTCTATTTCTCCCATTTCTCTTTCTTTACTATGAAACGCATTGAAATGTATTTTGCACTGATTGTGCACTTATACCTCTTAAATAATTTATTACATTTAATTGATATATTTTAATATTAAATTATAAAAGGTGAGGAAATAAATATATTTTAATTCCTTCTTACCACCTCTCTTTCATACCCTTCTACTTTATGGACTTGTAAAAATTTTATCTTATCAGATTTAAAAAACATTTTTATTTTATTTCTGTTGTTGTTAGGTGCCATCATGTATGACTCATAGCAACCCTATGAGCAACAGATCTGAACCCTGTCCTATATTGCACCATCCTTATCATCCCCAACACACTTGAGTCTACTTGCTACACTCTAATCAATCCTTCTCACAGAGGGTCTCCTGGTTTTCACCGATTCTCCACCTTTCTGAGCATGATGATCATCTCTAAGGAACCACCTCTCCTGACAACTAGTATGTGAGATGAAGCCTCCTCATTTCCAAGAAGCACTCTGGTTGCCCCTTCTCTAAGACACATCTGTTTGTTCTTTTGGGAGTCCATGGGATGTTTAGTACTCCTTTCCATCATCATAATTCAAAGGCGTCAATTCTTTTTTCTGTCAACGTTATTCATTGTCCTACTCTCAGATGCATAACAAGTGACTAGAAAAACCATGACATGAATCAAGTGCACCTTTGCTTTTTTTTTTCTTTTCGGAGAGGGGAGCACCTTTGCTTTTAAACTGACATCATTGCTCTTCAGGACTTGGACAAGATCCCTGACAGTAAATTAGTAGATTTCCCCAGTATTATACATCTCCTAATCTCCTGACTGCTGGTACCAAGGGTGTTGACTGTGGGTGCAAGTAAGACAGTATTGTTGATAATGTCATTCTTTTATCCATATATCATGATGTTGCCTACTGGCCCAGTGGTAAGGATTTTTGTTTCTTGATGTTGAGATGTAATCCATATTGAAGGCTGTAGTCCTTGATCTTCCGCAGCAAGAACTGCAAGTCCTCCTCACTTTCAGCAAGCAAAGTTATGTTCATCTGCAAAATGCAGGTGGTTCATGAATCTCCTTCCAATTTTGATGCCATATTCTTCTTCATGGAGTTCTGCTTCTCAGATGATTTGTTAAGCATACCACCTGAATAGGAATGGAGAAAGGATACAGCCCTGACACACATGTTTCTTGATTTTAAATCATGCAGTGTTTGTTTGCTCAGTTTGCACAGCAGCTTCTTAGATTTCTAATAAGGATATGTAAGTGTTCTAGAATTCCTATTCTTTTCCGTGTTAGTCATAGTGTTATAATCTACACAGCCATATATCTTTGCATAGTCAATAAAACACAGATGGGAATTTTTCTGGTTTTCTCTGCTTTCAACCAGGATCCATCTAACATCAGCCATAATATCCTTGGTGCCATGGCCTCTTCTGAACCCAGTTTGAATATCTGGCAATTCTCTGTCAATGAACTCTTCTGGCCAGTTTTGGATGATCTTCAGTAATATTTTGTTTGTAGGTGGTATTAGTGATATTGTTCAATAATTTCCACATTCTTTTGGGTTGTCTATCTTAAGAATAGGAACATGCCTTTCCACTGTGATAACAGCCTTGGAGGTCCAATGGAGAGTTGCTATAAGTCAGAGTCAACTTCATGGCAGTGAGAGAGTGCTACAAGTGAAATATATGTAGAATTACCCATTTATTGATATATTGTAGTTTTTTTCCACTTTCTACTTCATTGGCCAACATCTATTAGCTACTTCCATTTAAAAAAATGGCTAATGTTAACAGCATTCCTTGAATTCTTGCATTATGCATTTTATTTGCTTTTTACTTGCATAGTCATATAGAAAATTATAACATTCTTGAAATGCATTTTCTTTCCTTGGAAACACTATTAATTTAAAAAATTTTATCATATAGCATTAAACATGGCGTTGGAGAGCTAAAACATTAGATAACTTATTTTCTATACAGAGATCTATACAAAGATTCTCACCACTAGGCCAACTGACAGCACCATGATAGATGGAGAAGAGTTTGAAGTTGTTAACAATTACAGTTTGCTTGGCTCCAAAACCAACACTCGTGGCACCAGCAGTCAGGAAATCAAAAGACTAATTGCATTGGGAAAATCTGCTATCAAGGACCTCTCCAGAAGCAACGATGTCAATCTAGAGACTAAGGTGTGCCTGATTCAGGCCACAGTCTTCGCAATTACTTGCCATCCATCATAGAGCTGGACAACAACTAAGATGGCAAAAAAAGAATCAGTGCCTTTGAGTTGTGATGCTGAAGAAGAGTCTTGAACATACCATGCACTGTGAAGAAAAAAAAATTAAGTCTGTCTTAAGAGGGTGTAATTAAGTTTCTCCTTGGAAGTTAGGATTTTGAAGCTCCGTCTCACATATTTTGGACATGTTGCTAGGAGGGACCAGTCCTTGGGGAAGGACATCATGCTTGAAAAGGTAGAGAGACAGCTTAGGAGAGGAAGGCCCCAGATGAGATGAATTGATACAATAACTAAAGTAATGGGGGTAAGAGCATCAGTATCAGTGAGGCCGGCTCAGAATAGGGCAAGCTTCAGAGCTATTGTACATATGGTCGGTTTGAGTCACAGGCAATGATATCCATGCCACAGTCTTTTCTGAATTCAGCTTGAATTTCCAGCAGTTTCTTATTGGTGTAATGTTTCAGTCATATTTTAATAATCTTCAGCAAGATTTTACTTGAATGTGATATTAATATTTTTTTTATAATTTGCAGATTCTATTTGATCATCTTTTTTTAACCAGTCAGTTGGCCAAATAGCTTCCATATTTGTTGGCAGAGACTGGTGAGGGGTTGCATCCATTTCTTGAAACAACTCCAGGATTGCACCCATTTCTTGAAACAACTCCATTGGTATTACATTGATTCCTGGGCCTTATTTTCTGCCTTCAGTGCAGTTTGGACTTCTTTCTTTATTATTATTATTATTAGTTGTTG